TATTCCGCGGTGGCTCTGTTGGCGCCCTCTCGGCCTTCATCGATGAGAAACTTGCGTCCCAGCCTAGCTCTGCCAATACCTCCGACAGCGACACCTTGTTTGACTCTGACTCGGAACAACAGACTAGATGCGAAGGACCACCGAAGCCGATCAAGACACACAGCTCGACGAACCCATTCCTGATGTTGTTCCAGCTCGTCCCCTTGGCGATTCTATACCCGATTAGGCGCGGGGCGCACTGGACTGTCTTCCTTCTGGTTTTAGCATACATGGAGCGTTGGCCTACAAGCGGATGGCCCTTTGGTCGATTGGTCAACATTGTGACGACACTGATGTTTGCGCGATTGGTTATGTCGGTCGCGTTGCCCATCTTTGGTATTCTGGCTAAGTGGCTGATCATGGGTCGGTACAAGGAAGGAGTATATCCGATGTGGGGTTTATACCATACACGGTGGTGGTTAACGCAAAAGGTGATTGCTTTGACTGGACAGGGCGTTTTCAAGTAAGTTTTGTGCCAAGTCTTTTTCCCTTTCTCCCATGTAAACAAACACTTGGTGATCATGTCTTATATACGCTGTTCCCGAATAACGTCACTAACATCTTTCCTCTCACAGGCACCATAACTCCACTATTGTCTGGTACTACCGTCTTCTTGGAGCCAAGATCGGTAGCGGCGTAGAGCTGAACGAATGCCAACTGGGTGAATACGATCTCCTGACCATCGGCCCCAACGCATTCCTCGACAAGTGCATCGTCCGCCCCTTCGCCGCCGAACACAACACGTCCATGTATCTGGGCAAGATTACCATTGGCGCCAACGCCTCGGTCGGTCTTGCTGCCAACGTTGCTCCCGGAACCCAAGTCCCTGACGGTGCTTGCATCGGTCCGAACTCGTGCAGCTGGGAGTTGAATGATGCCACGGAGGCCAACCGCGATCTGTCCGTCCACCGCGCGCCGCAGCCGCACTGGGCCTTGACATTGTTCCTGACCATGCCGCTCTACGGTCTTGTCAGTCTGGTTGCCGGCGGCCCGTGGCTGCTCGGTATGGTTGGCTTGGTTGAGAGCAGGCCCGCGAAGGACCCCAATGCTGCTGTTCCTGTTGCTGCGTTGCCGAGCATCATCATCTGGTGGGCTGGTGACAACCGGATTGCGTATCATTATCTGGCTAAGGGCCTGGGAGTGATTTTCAGTCCGTTCTTCGAGTTTGCCGCTGTGATGATTATCAAGACGCTGTTGGATTTCATCTTCGGCAAGCTGAAGCCAAGCAGTGCTGAGGGTCGTGGACAGATTGAACGCTGGAGATTGGATCTCATGAGGACGATTTATCCCAATAAATCGATGCAGAGGTTGACTGGCTTGTTTGGTCAGCATTATGAGATGACTTCTATTGTCCTTCGTCTGCTTGGAGCCAAGGTTGGCAAGCGTGTTTACTGGCCGGGTACTGGACCGGGCATTACGGATTACCATTTGCTTGACGTTGGAAATGACGTTGTCTTTGGGTCTCGCTCATACCTTATCACTTCTGATGGCCTTGGTTCCGAACCTATCAAGATTGGTGATCGCGCTATGATTGCCGATCGTGTGGTCTGTCTCCCCGGTGTGACTGTCGGCAACGACACGGTGCTTGGATCAGGTGCACTCACCCGCCGAAACAAGGAGTACGTCACCAACGGAGTGTACGTCGGCTCCAAGGGCGGTGACTCTCTTTGTCTCTCGACCGGCGCACAACCCAAGGGTGACAAGAGCAGAGTCTCCCGACGCAACGGTCGTGCCGCGCAGCACCCAGCCCTGACACAGGAGAAGAAGTCTTCCATCGAAAGCGTCCGCTACCTTCAAGGCACCAACGACCCCGAAAAGGGTCATAGCACTCCTAGCATCACCATCACCCGCCCCGTCTCGGATGTCCCTGGTGACTTCAACCACTCTGGCTCCGACACCGAAGCCGAAGACCCTGCCAATGACCCCGCCA